CATAGCTTTCTAGAGCCAATTTGTGAAGTTTGAGTTGTTCTTGAGCGTATATAGTTTACTCAACATCTACTCTTAAAGAGAGTCTTGTTCTTGAGTGTTCTTAGTGTTGTAAACACGTTTAGGGAAGCTTGTTTCCCTTGGTTGTACGAAGGAAAGGTATTTTCCTTCGGGTTGAAGTCTTGGAGTGCGGTATCTCCGAGCAAGTGTATTGAGGCTCGTGGGACTCGAGTTCTCAGGTTGTAACGGTTTGTTAAGCACCCGTAAGCTTAACGGAAGTAGTGTAGCTCGAGAGAGTCTCTCGGGAGGCTGGATTAGCCACAAGTTGTGGTGAACAGGGGTAAATCTTGGTGTGCTCCCTTTACTCCTTTTTATTCCGCTCTTTACTTTATCCCTGCGATTTTTATTCCACAAAAATTTATAAACATTCTCGTGCCTCACTATTCACCCCCCCTCTAGTAAAGGGCACTTATTCTAACAATTGGTATCAGAGCCTAACTCTCTACAAGCCTTAACCGGTTGAGAGAACGATCTATATTTTTTTGTTGAGAATGTCGTATGCAGAATTAAGTGAAGGACACTCCACCGTTAGACCTCCACTCTTCGATGGAACAAACTACACCTATTGGAAGGAACGAATGAGGATTTACATTCGGTCAATCAACTTCCAACTATGGTTAATAATCAAAAACGGTGAGACGATGCCAATGAAAAAGGTTGGTGAAACCACCATCCCAAAGAAGGAGGAAGAATATGATGCTGAAGACATCAAGAAGGTAGAAGCTTTTGAAAAAGCTAAACACATGATTTTTTGTGCAATTAATCCGGATGACTACCGGAAAATTTCTTCTTGCTCCATCGCAAAAGAAATGTGGGATAAGCTTGAAGTGACATACGAAGGTACGCCTCAAGTCCGTGAAGCTAAAATTGATTTTCTAACCCATGAATATGAGTTGTTTAAAATGAAGGAAATTGAAAGCGTGTATTTATAATTTTTTTAGTTTTGGCCTCGAGCTCTAGTGGTACCATCACATTTTTGGAAAAATTTTAAAATCATCAAAAAAATTTCCCGAATTTTAAATGGATATTTCTATTTGCATGTAAAATCCTTTGTAAAAGTTTCATGTCAAAAAAACATGTCAGTAATGTATAAATTATAATTTTTTCAATTTTAGCCTCGAGCTCTTGAGGTACCATCACATTTTTTGGCCAAATTTTTAAATTCATCCAAAAATTTCCCAAATTTGACATGGATATTTCTATTTAGGGTTTAGGGTTTAGGGTTTAGGGTTTTAGGGTTTTAGGGTTTTAGGGTTTTAGGGTTTAGGGTTTAGGGTTTAGGGTTTTAGGGTTT